CTGGAGCTGTGCCTGGCACAGGAACCATCCCTGCCCTCCTGCCCATGGAGCCTGGAGCTGTGCCTGGCACAGGAACCACCCCCTGAAGCAGCACCCCCAAGCTGCCCCATTCCCTGACACCCCAGACCTGCACGACACCCCAGCTGGGTGACAATCCCTGCCTGTTCCTCATCCCTTTCCCCAGCCCTGCAGTCTCTCCTCTGTCCAAGGACTTGAAGAACCTCCTGGAGCATGTGCTTTGCCTGCTGGAAAAGCTGCATCCAGGCTTCCTTATAGTGACTGTGCAGCTCATTTGCCTAAGCAGCCCTACAAGCAGGATGCCAGTCAGGAAGCGCCAGCCACCCCGGGCAGTTCATCAACCACAGGTTCAGTCTGTGCTTGCTGGGAAGACTAATCCTCTTTTCACCAGCAGTCCTCAAAATCCCCCTCCTGACCCAGGCAACAGCCCACGCACCCTGGAGCCCCCTGAGCCCTTCTCCCCCCCACCAGCTGCCACTGCCACCCCCTTGCAAGCAGCTCTGCTTGGACTTCCAGCCAACTTGGCTTTTTTGCTTTCCAACCCTCCAGCCAACTTGGCTCTCCTGTTTTCAACCCTCCAGCCTGGCCCCTAAGTTTGCTGCTCACCCAGGGACACCCAGACCTGCAGCCCTGCCCTTCCCCTTTTGCTCTGGGTGATCCTGTGACCTTTGGGTTTGTTGGGAGGCTTTTCCACTCCTCTTGTTTGTGGAAGTTCAGCCCTCAGAGAGCTGTGCCAACCTGCAAGGTCCCAGCAGCAAAACAAGCCCCAAAACAATCATTTGGTCGGCGCCAACACATTGTTTATCCTACAGCTCCCCAGGGACTGCACTGAATCACCAAGCTGGGAGTAAACAGCTCTGCTATCCAGGGGCCAAGCAGCACGGCTGGGGCTCCAGCACTGATTTATCTCCAAATGTAAAAAAAGAGCCTTTGAAAGGTGTTTCTGGGAGTGTTGCCTCTGCAGGAGGAGGGGGAGCAGCCCTGCACCCCCAAACTGGGAGCCTGGGGGTATAAATCAAAAAGCCAGGGATGATGATGATGAGGCAGAGGGCACCTCATGGCCCACCCTATGTCCCCAGAGAAGGGGACACACCTCTGCTTAGCAAGCTCAGGGCTGCTTTTGACACTGCAAAGAAAGGCTCAGCCCTCTGGAAGGGGGAAAGCATGACCTTGTCACCACCCTCCCTCCAGGAAAACATCTGAGTCTGGACCTCCAGAAGACACAGGGCTCATTCCCAGAAGCCTGGCTAACCCTTCTGGGTCCCTTTGCCTGGCATTTTACTGCCAACCCCAGCAGCAGCACAGAAATCAATGGCAGGATTGTCAATTGAAAGGCTCAGCCCGGGGCCAAGGGGGAATGAATGGGAGAAAGAGCAGCTTTGTGCTCTGCAGATGGAGGGGGCCACAGCAGATGGAAGGAGGAGAAGGATATGAAAAGAGGGAGAAGGAGGGAGCTCCGGTGCAGCTCGGATGGATTCCTGCAGGGTGAGGTCATGGAGGAAGAGGGAGATGCTCTGGCTGGGACCAGGGCAGGGAGGTCCATCCTCAACACAAGAGCGAGGGCAGATAACTTGACAGAGCATCCCTGCTTCCCATGGGATTGTTCCATAGCAGGTTTGGCTTCCCTTGACACTGCTTGGGCAAACCTGGCTGGAATGACACACCAAAGGGCTCTCTTGGCACCCTGGGAGGCCAGGAGATCCTTCAGAATGACAACAAGAGCCTGGGGAGAGCCTGGCCCTCCCCAGCCCCAAGGTGTGGGGCACCCCAGAGCTTTGCTTTGCCCCCCACCCCCAGAACAGACCCCCGAGGAGAGGAGCAGGTGGGCAGGCAGCCTTCACTGCTTCCACACTCACTAACCCAAGCTCACTGACTCAGCCCTCCCAGTCCCCCCCCATTCCCTGCTCCAGCATCCCAGACACTCAGCTTAGTCACTGGCTCAGCAGCTCTGGTGGCCAGCAAGTCCTTGCAGGTCTGCCATTCCCTGCTGGTGCTGGGGGAGGACACCATCCTCCCCCCCAAAGCAGACGTGATGGTTTGAAGCAGCTCTCTTGCCAGTGTTTTAAAAATAAGGAACAGAAATTGAGCTTGGGAAAAAAAGTAGAAAAAGGGGAGGAGGATGGAGATAAGAATCTGCAGATGAGGGGCAACTTGGTGCTCAGAAAACCCTTGTCTAGTGGGACCCACTGGAACGTGAAGAGGGAAAACCAGGCAGAGTTAGGAGATGTCCCTGCTGCCCAGAATGACCCTCTCAGCTCCTGCTAAGCCACCCACCTTCTGCTGAGCTCCCCTGCTGCTGCAGCCCAGGGACAGGGGGCTGGGCCACCCAGCAGGATGGCTGAAGGACAGGAGGGGGTTTAACGAGGTGCAGCACCCAAGATCAGGGACCCTCGGGGGCTGTCACACGTTCCAACACTGCCAGTCATCACTGGCACACTGCTAGTGCCACCAGCTGACAGCCTCCTGCCTGACTCACAGCCCCAGCCAGGTTCTTTCCTGGTTCCCTCCTTCTCCAAACAATTTCTCATTTCCCAGGTTT